GAAAAACACTGCAGTTGACCAAATACATCAGTCATCCAGACAGCTGCATAAGCATGGCGCTAATTCTACATCTACTACATAGAAAGCTGTGTGAAGCCTGGTGAAGAAAGAATGGCATTTCATTAGCAGCTTTGCCTCACTTGAGTGTCTTCTCGCTCGACCTACTCGTGCAAGGGAATCGCACTCGGTAGGTGCGTTTGTTCAAGCTGTTATAAGCCTTACAGTCAGCGTGAAGCTGAAGCCAGGCCTTGGACAGACGACAAGAGGACTGCAGTGGTCTGATATTATTTGTGTTCTGCATAGTGTGTTGTGCAGGCTTGGCATCTCCTTGTTGGCATATCTCAGATTTGCTGTGGGTGATATTGCGTGCAGATTACTCTCCAAGTTTTGCGTGCAGATTACTGTCCAGGGGTCCAAGTTTTCTATACGAGAAGACTTCTGCCACGTGAGAGGCAAAAAGAAAGCTTATCGAATTCACCTAGGCCAAAAAATTACCTTGAAATTGAAAGTTGCTGTCATCCATTTGCCATGTATCTTCTGCGTTAATTGCCTTAACATTAAATTTTAACTTACCCCAGATCTAAAGCCAAACCACTCGTGAATCAAGTATAATGGACTTGGTATTATGAACCGCACCAATTACTATAGCAAATATAACATACATAGATGGTTTCAGCAACCACCGGCTAATGCAAATGATTCTTAACGTTCAATAACGTCTTGCTGTAGCTACGAAAAAAATTCACAATTTTAATTGAAGAAATTACATTGTAATAAATGATGAATTTTATAGATTTTGGAGAGCATACTTTTACCGTCATTTCATAATCGATCCGTACAAGACAGCTGGACACTCTTCAAAAGCAAGTTGGCTTCATTAGTAAGTGAACATATTCTTATATTCAAAATACCAAGCGATTAACGGAATTCTTGGTTCATGACGTAAGAGATTATTAAATTAAAAACGAGACTGTGTGCGGTGGCTAAACACGCGCAAACCGCTGCGTCGTGGCAAAGCTACAGACACTTTTTGGGTAACTTGCTCCGCGATACATGCTGCCCGCGATAGATATTTTTCTCGCGATCTACCGTCACTGCTCACAATTAACACATGAAAGTTTTGCAAACAAGTGTGCCCAGATCGTCACAATAACAGCATCACGTAGCACAATGATGACCACATTCCCACTCCATATATTGATATGCGTGCTTTAACGTCCTAAAACATTAATGTGATTATGAAAGACGCCGTATTGGAGGGATCCAGGAATTTCGACCACCTGGGATTCTTAACGTGAATCCAAATCTGAACACACGGGCCAACAGCACTTTCGTCTCCATCGAAAGTGCGGCCGCCGCAGCCGGGATTCGATCCGGCGATCAGCGGGTGAGTAGCCGAGTACCTTAGCTACTAGACCATCGCGGCGGGGCGCATTCCCATTCCATATCAATGCTGTATTAACGCTTTCAACACTTTCTTTAAATCAGCTTCCCCCTTTGAAGATCATGCAAAAGTCTCCGATGTAGCTGATCTAGACTATCCCTTTTTGCAGCCCATCGAGATCACTGTTGACGGAGTCGCATCTATGGTAAATCTTCTTACATGTTTAACACCAAAATGCTAAAAAGTATGGCCTCACCTCGAATATAATATTATATCACATAGCTCAGCAATCACAATCAACCGGACAGCTTCTACACACAGGAAAATCACGAAGGTCAACGCCGTGTTTAAAAACGGCAATAACAATTTATCTCAAAATTACAGACCCATTTCTCTAACACCCATCTGCTGGAAGATGCTCAAGCATATAATCACCTTCCATATTTACAATCACTTGGAGCAAAATAACCTTTTGTTTCAAAATCAACATGGATTTAAAAAAGCCCTATCATGTGAAACGCAGCTTTTCGAATTCACAACTGACCTATATCATAATTTAGATCTAAACCTAAAAGTTTACTGTCTTTTCCTGATTTTTCGAAAGCCTTCAATCGCATTGCTCAGTGTTGACTACGCTATAAACTATCCTCCTTCTCCCTAGATTCTTTAACTCTGTCATGGATACAGAACTTTAGTACTAACCAGCCGCAATTCTTCATTGTTGATGATTTTTCCTCCCGACTTTCATACGTTTGTTCTCGTGTGTCGCAAGGAAGTGTTCTCGGTGCGCTACTTTTTCTTATTTATATTAACGACTTATCAAGTAATTTATTCTCACAGGTGCTCATTTTCGCTGACGACTGTTTAACTTACCGATCAATAACTAGTAATAGTGATCGCGTAATAATTCACAACGACCTCGACCTCATTACCAATTGTTGTGTTTGTTGCCTTATGTCCCTTAATTCAAGAAATTGTTAACTAGAGTCCTTCTCTCATAAATATGATAACGCTCAGTTCTTATACTTTATTAATGGCAACCGCTTATCTAGTGTTAACTCTTTTGAATATTTAGGTGTAACTTTGACTTCTGACCTTTTCTGGAGTGCACCCATCACCAACATCTGCAGGAATGCCTCATGATGATTATACTACTTACGCCGCAATCTAAGTAAGATTCCCACAAATATACGTGCCTTAGCATGGGTAAGATTTTTTTGACCTCAGCTTGTATTTACTTCTGCAGTTTGGTCCCCTCATTACAATAATTTTACCAACATACTGGAGTAAATCCGGGATAAAGCTGCTAGATTCATCACCTAAAACTGCGATCGTAGCGCAAGCATAACATAATTTAGGAAGAACTTATCACTTTTCCTTTTGAGCAGCCATCGTGATATACAACTCCTTTCATTATTTCATGAATACGTGCACGAATCAAGGCCATTCCCTTTAACATTGCAAACACCTGCATTCACAACAAGAGACTGCATAATCTTTTTTTATTCACACGCATCTACGGTAAACATATATTTTTAACTCATCTGCCCTCACCCGCGTCATCCGCATGTAAAACGACCTAGCAGGTGACATCGTAGTTGAACGCAATCAACAAAAGTTCCGGCACCTTCTGATCACCCATTTTCAAGGTTAACAGCTTGGTTTCTTAATGTCCAGTTCTGTACCTACGCTTTTATTGATTGCTGGTTTCTTGGGTTACTTTGTTCTCTTCTATAATTTTGTTACTTTATTTTAAAATTCTTTAGAAGGTTTGAATGCTAACACGTCATTCAATTCTGTGTGTATTCTTGAGCAATGTTTTGTTTTGAATAACAGGAAGATTTTTTACAAGTTGTGTTTACTCTTTTATAGCTTGTTTTACGTCAATGTCTCACATGTTTAATCATCTGCTTTTTATTGCCGTTGTATTTTTAGTTATAATAATTTATTTCTTTTTTCATCATTTTTGTTGTTAGGCGTTGAATAATTATCGACAATTTTTGTGTTAATCTTATGTAGGTTGTGCAAATCCAAGCATATTTCTTTCATTCTCTCCTTACACAATGCCCTGCTTGGCCTGTAAGGTATTTTAAATGAATATATAAATAAATGGGACAAACGCTTTTTTTTTTTTGCTGGTTGGGTGGCCAACTGCGGTTTTGCGCTGCCACGCTGCTCGCTCCCTGTAGTGTTTTATTCCTTTCTCGTTCCTAAATCGCGGTTCACGTGTATAATTATCACCAGGTCACCATACTGACATTGACTGGCAAAAAAAAAACGTCAATCAGGTAAGGTTTGCATCGTTCCTTGCGAGTGCCCAAGCCGGTACCACCGACGTACACAGTCAGGTCCGAACAAAAGAAGTACAGGCGCAATGAAAAGTGGGCAGACCCCAGCATCGCGTGGCAGAATGCATCAATGTGCCGGCTAGCTATGAGACATGACGAGACACCTGCTGCAGGGTGCATGCGCGTCCCGTTTTACCTATTGGCTTCTCATGACGTTCTGTTGGACGCGGTTACCATAGCCAAAACGACAACTGGGTGTCGCTTTCTTTGCTCCTTAAAATATGTGCTGTTCTTTTACTTAGCGACTGCGACGGGGCCGGTTGAAGCGCTGGCTCGCGTTGTTATTGACACGAGTTGATTAGGATAAGTAGGCATAGCGAGCATAAGGGAGCAAGCGCCCTGCAGCGGATAAGTAAGAAGGCGCCCTACAACAAGCATCTCGTCGTGTCTCGTCGCTAGCTGGCTCATCGATGCATTCTCCCACGCGATCTCGTGGCCTGCACACTTTTGATCACACTTGTACATTGGCGACAGATAGCTCGCGTTGTGAAAGCAACGTACCTTTGGTAAACTTGCTTTTTGAACAATCGCCTGCAGATGCGGGCAGTTCTGAATCTTTTATGCTGTGCGAAGTTACCTCGAGTGCTTTAAAGTTCACTTGGGCAATTGCGCCCTCTGTAACAAGGTAGGCGCGAGATTTTTATTCCCGGCCATGAGCTCATATTATAGGTAATCTGTATTTAGGCGATAGGCACAAAATTATTGGGAGCTTTTTCCGCTTGAGTGATATGTGGGGTTTAACGTCCCAAAATCACCATATGATTATGAGAGACGCCGTAGTGGATGGCTCCGGAAATTTCGACCACCTGGGGTTCTTTAACGTGCACTCAAATCTGAGCACACGGGCCTACAACATTTCCGCCTCCATCGAAAATGCAGCCGCCGCAGCCGGGATTCGATCCCGCAACCTGCGGGTCAGCAGCCGAGTACCTTAGCCACTACACCACCGCGGCGGGGCAGCTTTTTACGCTTCTCGTTATAGTTAAGTTCCACTGTGGCTAGAGCTAGAATATCTCATAGCAAGTAATGATCGGTCTGCTGAGTATGCAGCGAACACGTATACTAACGAAACATAGTTTTTGGGTGAGTGCTTACAGATCGAAGAGCCATAATTCTAAGAAAATAAGCTTTGGGCACGTATTGTACAATTTTGTTCTTTGTACACCCGTTGACAAAATAAGACGGGACGTGCGCGCGACGACCGCCATCCGATAAAACGGCATCGCCACGCCATCTGACGTGGAGAGTGCGCATGTGCGCTCTTTCAATTTCGCTTCCATGTCTTTTTACTCTCTTGCGGCGTACCAGTGATTACATGTAGCGTTTTGTGCTAGGCGTCACTTTCTTCATTCTGTGACGCGCTCAGTTCCACGGGGGCATGGTGGCGATGATGTGTATACGACTCGCTGCGCCCTGAATAAAGAGATATCATATCTTGTATGAGTGGCAAGCCGGTGATACACACGTCATCAATCCCCTTCTCTGCACGTTGTTTTACTTGAGGCATACCATGCGATAGTTAAACACGAACGAAGGAATCGGAAATAAAAAGGTGTTGAGCTTAAAAAAGTACTTCAGTTTATTAACGTATTATAACAAGATGCAGGCAGATCACTTTGCACATGCAACAAAACAGGCGAATGGACTAGAAAAAAAAAACAAATGCTGTAATAGGCGAGGGCATGGGTTAGCCTTCAAAGAACAATAAAAGAAGGCAGTTGAGGGCGAGCGAAAAAAAGCAACGGCGAAAATCATCACATCTGCTCTGTTCACCCCCTTTGTAACAAAAATTTAATAGTGCGTGAAGTGGCCGTTCACAGAAATTATTTCTGATATCCTACTTGGCATAGATTTGTATAACGAGGCGACGTAATCACCTTCCGACCGAAGGGCCTCCCAGTCTTCTTGAATCACGTTCCACAACGCGTTTGACGTTGCCCTGGACAATTTGCGCCTAGACAAACCCCACTTCATTCGAACCCACATATTCTCGACTGGGTTTGCGTCCGCGCCACAAGGAGGCCACGGCAATGTGAGTACGCCAAGATCTTCAAGCATGGCGGTCACTTGACGAGCTGCGTGTACGGGGCTTTCGCCCTGCTGGAAGGTGAAGCAGCCATCGGGGGGCATATGGGAGCACGGTGTCTCTTAGCAGGGAACTGTAGGAGGGCGCTTAGAATTAGCCAATAATGCGGACAAGTGGCCCTAGGACATCTTTGCTTATAGATCCCAACATGAACATTGAACACCAATTACTTAAGAGGTCACTCCGAGTATAATCAGGGCGGTACCTGCAATTTTAAAGAACCAAAATTGGCAGGTAAAGGGTGTAGAAAATTGATTGATTGATTGATTTGTGGGGTTTAACGTCCCAAAACCACCATATGATTATGAGAGACGCCGTTGTGGAGGGCAAAGGGTGTTGAAAATTCATTTGTAAATTAGTTATTTGCGTTTTGCTAAAAACTCGAGTGTGATTTAAACCGTCGTGCGAACAGCACGTACAAGACACTGTGTGAAAAACTTAAAACTGGTATTTAACGTGCTGCTAACGAGGAATTATTTGTGTACATTCTGTAATTTGCAGTGTGTTTTGGTCTATACTGACATTGTAGAATAATTTTATTTTTCAAAATAGGTTTTGCAAGAAACTAAACAATATTACATGTACAAAAATATTTCAGCATATGCAAAGCGTCAAAACATTAACATCGTGAAAAGTGAACGCATTGGTTACCTCAAACTTGCGGCCGGCCACACCCTCCTCTTCTGATCCCATCGAGTGCAGGAAGTCAGCTCGGCAGAAAAAAAAAACGACATTTTTCCATTTTTCTTCCATCCAATGCTTATAGTTCAAAGCGAAATACAGGTGGTGGTTGCGCTGTCGCTCAGACAGAAAAGGCTTTGCGCCGCGGCAAAATTGTAAATTCCGGCCTCCTTTGTTCGTCGGCTCACTGTCCTTGCAGAAATATTCAGTGATAGCTTGTTCCAGATTTCCTTGGCGGAGAAGAAAGAATCCACGACAGCTGCTGCCACATCAAAATGTCGGTCTCGTATGTCGTGACTCTTGGCCGCCCAGACCACTTGGCATCAGCAAGTGTTTCATCTTCTCTAAAAGCGCGTAAAATCCTGGTGATCGCTGTCTTCAACCTCCCAGTTCTTCGGGCAATTTCTCTCTTCGGGACACCCTTCACAAAAAGTCAGGCGATGTATCGCCAATTTTTAAGGGGAA